ATATCAAAAGATTGATTACAAGATGCAGTACATTTAGGAAATTCAGATGAAGCTATCAGATTTTCTCTATTTCTATTTTCTTCGAAAATGAAACTAGATTTATCCAACAAGTATAACTTCCCTACAAGCTTGCCAATTGCCAATACTTGTTCACTCTGTAGGTCCTGCAATAAACATGAATCAGGGTAAAAGGTTAATTTCAGTTTCTATGATTTGGTGATTTTTGGCACTGATAGCAGATTGAATTTGAAACTAGGAACAAATAAAGTATCTGTTTGGGGTGTAGGTCAACATTCCCAATGTGTTTTACTGACTTATTTGTTCCATCAGGTAAGCAAATGAGAGTAGGTTGTGAAACATGGGTTAATTGTGTCATTAGATTCAAGTCTGAATAGATGTGATTACTAGCTCCTGTATCAATGATCCAGGTTCCTGGTTTCATACGATCTAAAACAGCTAAAAGAGAGTAATGTGAACTCATACCTGCATATTCTGTAATGTGTGCAAAGTTCACCTTATTTTCTACCTCCATCAGCTTCTTATCTCTCAGCACTCTTAGCACTTCCTGTGTCACCAGATCTACTATATCTGTGGATGCTCCCAAATCCATTTTCCTGTTCTGATTGACTTTATCATCTTCAAAATCCAAAGGTGTATTAATCATGTTGACTGAAAAACGTTCATCTCCATAGCTCCTAGGCCTCTGTCCTTTCGACATTTTGTACCAATCAGGATATCCTATTAGTTTAAAACAACTATCTCTTGTATGACCTTTCATATTGCAGTGATTACAGTGATTTTGTTCCTTCTCATTTCCAAATCGTTTATAACTTCCTCACCCTGCTCCATACCTTACTGTGTTCCTATTGAAAGTACATCTACTTCCATTTTCTCTCCTGTAATCCATGGATTTAACTAGCATAGCTGTGTTATCATTTGAATCAAGGAAAATATTGTGAACCTCTCTCTGTTTTTCCACTCTCGATACCATAGAATATGCTTTGTTGACAGACGGAAGCGGATCCATGACTAACACTTGATTTCTAACATGATCAAAAGTATCATTTAATCCCATTAGAAACTGCATCAGCTGATTAAAAATTGTTAGATCTGAAATCTCCTTTGATGCTGAACAAGTGCAGGTAGGAATCGACATCAGATAATTCAATTCATCCCACAGCTTTTTGAGTTTAGTGTAATACTTTTCAACAATTAAAATACCTTGTGTGATGCTACTGATATCTCGTTGTATTTGATACATCATTGGGCCATTGCACTCACCATACC